TAGCCTTTCCCCCGCGCCGGACCGAGCCAGAGACGCTCCCCCTCGCACTCAGCGCGCGCCCCTTCCCGCTCGCTCCGTGCTCCCCGCGCACTCACAGCCGGTGCAGGCAGCCAGGCGGCCCCGCAACGCCTGCTTCCACGCCATGCCCCGCCACGCCCACATCCGGGTTACTGAGCCGCCATCATGTGACCACCTGCTAAGGGCCCTGGCAATTCCTTCCGGTGTCTGCGGCCTCTCCCATAGACCTTGTACGTGACTGTCGCCTAAAGCTATTGGCGCTGACACCGTGCCCGTAGCCAACATGGCGGTCACAAGCAACTGAGGCCGCTTTACTGTGCTCTGCTCTCATTGGATCCTTCTGATCACATGAGCAGCACGAGCGGGCAGTATAGACTGGCGCGAGCTTGGATGGGGAGCTCTGATTTGTAGCAAGTGTTCAGTGAGTGCGAGAACAGGTGCTGAAGAAAGGTTCTTCCCTACGCAGAGGGACTGTCCGGAGGCTCAGTCATTACCTGACCCGCCCCTTCGGCTACAGGTAGCACGTACCAGAGCCGCGCGACTCACAGGGGCGCCTTGGGGAGGCGCGGAGCCCACAGGCTCCGGTCCCTCGCACGTGCCGCGCGCCCCGCGTAGGCTGCCTTGGTGCATTGCATGCTGGGAACTGTAGTTTTCAGCGGGCGGCACTAGTCGCTGGGGCATGAGGAGTGTGTGGCCTGTTGCCCCGCCCCCGCGACTTCCGCCGGTTGGCGCTTGGCGCTGGTGCCTCTCACGGGCTCCCTACCGTAGCGCCGAGGCCTCTGGCGGCGCTCTGGCTCTGGATGCGGCTGAGCCGACCCAGCTTGGGGGGTCGGAGCGTTGCGCTGTTGCCATAGGCCCGAGCGATCAGACGTCACTAGTCGAGCCCGGAAACTCTTGAGACTGGCCCAGCAGCGTGAGCTTCAGTGGCAAGGCGGCGAGCTCGTGGCGTTAGGGAGCGATGGCCTCCTGGTGCCCGGGCTCCTATTTTCCCAGCTCGCTTTGCGACCGTGACATTGGCTGGGGGCTTCTTTTGAAAAGTGAAAGCTGAATCTCCTGCCTAATTCAGCAGCTGGGGCTGTAAGAAATAAACCAAATCGTGGGAAACTTGTGATAAAAATGATCACAAGAGTTGGCAGGAAAGGCGCTTACAGTGATCCTTTCTGTCCCTTCCAAACACATAAGATAACAATGGCAGTACTGGATCGGACCAAAGGTATCCTGCCTTCCCACAGTGGCCAATGCCAGGTGTTCCGGAGGGAATGAGCAGAACAGGTAATCTAGTGATCCCTCTCCTGTCATCCATTTCCAGCTCCTGACAAACACTCCCCTTCAGTTATGGCTACACTGACTACAAAGGCTTGGTTATCTCTGTGAAAACAGGTTTCGTTTAAATGTGGAGAAAAATGAATAGTCTGTGTATCTGCAGTATGTCAGTGCCTGCCTTTACAAATATTTATCACAGGCTGTAGGGGTGCATCTACACAGTACCCTAACCTCAAAATAAGATACGCAATTTGCGCAATGCAAATTGTGTGTCTTATTTCAATTTTATTTCAAAATAGCTTCTTTTGAAATTTGTCGCGTTTACACAGCGTCAAATTTTGAAATAACGCCCTATTTCAAGACATCTCTTAACCCTTGTAGAACAAGGATTATGCGGATGCCAAAATAGCATACCCGTTATTTTGAAAAATATATTGAAATAACAGGTGGCTTGTTAAGATGCAGGGTAGCTATTTCGGGATACTAGAAGTACAGTGTAGACATACCCTAATTCATGAGGAAACTTTGGTAGAAACCCCATATTCAAATACAGGCAGTTTTTCTGTGGCTTTTAAGTGAGCAAATGTTGAGTCTCTAACCTACTTTGAGTAAGGTAGGTCACTTTCTGTGTTGTAAAAATATAAACGGAATTGTAATACTGTAATGAAGTTACTACATCGGAGATGCATGTACTAATTATGTATTTTTATGGCCTCTTTTCTGAAGGTAATTTCCTGACCTGATTTGGATGACAGTAGCAGAACAACTCTTATTTCTTAGGACGTCTACATCACTGCTTCCCTATATTTATTAAAAACCTTAAATAGCACCAGTGCTTGGGCAAGCACAGCGAAGTACAGAACCGCCAAGCCTCTTTCTTGTGAAGAGAGATGTCCCCTCACCCTTTATATTGTTTGGCAGTTTAAAATATTTCTTCTTTTGTTGATTAAGGAATTTGCTATTTTACTTTTAATACAAATCTTAAAAGCTCCAGTGTGACCTTTATTCAAAAACTTTTGCAGCTTGATACTCTGTAAGACTTTATTAGAAAATTTCCCTCAAACAAAAACTTCACGTTCCACTAGAGCTTTCCTGGGGAGTGTTCTGAGTATATGCATTCTCCTCATCATGGCTTTCTTCTATGTCTCTAGCTTCTTGGGTTTGCAGACTTTGGGGAAATACCACCTGTTTTGGCCTGCTCCAAGGTTCCAACAGCTGTTTGCTATCATCTTCCGTCTCCACAACAGGGAACATGTTAAAAGTTTTATTACTACTTCTCAGTCTGCAGTACCAGTGGATCCTAACACAACTCATATGCTGTCTACTAAAACCAGATCGGAACGTAGAGATGGAGAGAAAAGAGAGGGCATGGCTAGAGGAGACACCTCTTCTCCTCATCCTTTTTCCCTGTTCTCTGCTGGAGCTGCCAAAAGGAGATCAAAGAACCAAGAGGAACCTTTCATGATATCTAAAAGGAATGGTATTCAGCCACCAGAAAAACCTTTGAGTGTGGAGGAATGGGAGGAACTGAGGGAAGAATTTAAGGCAGTTAGCAAGTTTGAATATGTAATGCTAGAGCAAATGATCAAATACAATAGCTCCATAGACGTGGCCAAATCCTTGCTGTCTATGGTGGCAACGAGAAAAGGTGACATCAGTTATAATTTATTGGTCAAGTACCTTGCGCTGTGCATCAAGCAGGAGCAGCTAGCAGAGGTTTTTGATGTCTTTGATATAATTAAACTCAGATTTAAGACTTTGGAACCTGGGGCTTACAGCCTTCTGATTAAGGGATTGAGTGGTTCTGATAGGTGGAGAGAGGCTTTGTTGCTACTGGAAGAGATAAAAAAAGTCATGACACCTTCAAAAGCCAACTATGGAGACTGTATCAAAGGGGCCCTCAATAACCAAGAAATAAACTTGGCATACGAACTGTATCATGAAATGCTGGCTAAGGAGTTGATACCAAACTTGGATACACTGCAAGCGTTTTTTGATACTGGCAAGTGTGTGAAGGATGATCAGTTAAAAAGTGAACTCTTAGGAATCCTCCTATATCTGAGAGAAAATCAGATATATCCTGGAGAAACTCTTATGCAGAGTATAAAGCTATGGTTTGAAAGGTAACTATCTCAAAAGCTGTTACTGAGAATTAACTCTGACCCATGAAGACTGTTGTCCAAAGGCCCTGAAGCTATTATATTTTACCTTTTAATGCTTTCTAAAAAGCATTGCTATAATGTTTTTATATGTACTTTGAATAGAGAGTTTTACCAGGTCTAAATTTCCAGTCACAATTTTTATCCTTTAATTTTGTACTTTTGATGCATTGTGTAGCAAATTCTGATGAGTCCCACATGTCAGAATTTTTGTGTTCACTAGTTCTTATCTTTAGTTTGGTATGTGTGATATCAAATATTGAATGTTAATAAGTATCAGTATTTCCTTCAATGTATATTCTTTAGTGTCAGTTGTACAAAATTTGGACAGTTTCCCTCTGGGGTGCAAGAAAAGAGTGAATATCTTGAGAAAACAAATTCTGACATTAACACCCCAAATGGGATTCCACTTATGTTATTTTGTAACAAGTTTAATATCTCATGCAGTCAGTTTATAAACAAAAAAGTTTATTTTTCTAATTAAGCCCTGCAAATGCAACTTAGGATCTGAGTGTCAGACTGGTATATTATCATTTTGTGCACCATCACCAGCAGTAAAAGCTCTGTAGGTCAAATTGGGCCCTCAGTTATACCCATGCCAAGGATGTTAAAATATGGTTATCAGGCTAATTGTATAGTCAAAACAATTTGTAACAACTACACAATTAGTTGATAGAACTGCTCTGCAGAGGAGTAGCTCCAGGAGCTGGCTGAAGCTGGAACTGAGCAGTCCCAGCTCATGCCAACTCCGGAAGCCACCCACATTGCAGCTTTCCATTTTAAATGTAGTAAGAGCAGGTAGGCTCTTACTGCATTTAAAATGGAGTGCAGCATCCTGGACGAGCACGAGCCTGGACTCTTCAGTCCTGGCTCATGCTGAGTCCAGCAGCCCTTGTTCGCAGCAGCCTGTCCTCTTTGCCTTGAACAGGGGCTGCTGCTGGAGCAGCCCCTGCTTTT